AATGTGAGCAGAGCCAAACTGTGTAGGCTTGTAAACCACAGAAAGATTTTAGTTTTTATCATAAAAGCAACGGGAGTCACGGAAAGATTTTAAGCAAGAGAGTAATATGATCATATCTTTATTTCAAAAAGATTGGGTTGGCTGCAGTGTGGAAATATATTGGAGGAAGGCAAGAGTGGGTGCAAAGAGACCAGTTAGATTATCCCAATAATTAGTCCAAGTGAAAGAAGATGGTAGCTTGGTCCTATTTGTGGATGTCTGAGTGGATGGATAAGTGGATGAGTAACTGGGTATGTAACCAGGGCTGAACTAGCAAGATTCATGGACTTAAAGCCACTTAATTTTGTTTCCCACTGTTCCTTTAAATGTGCTCAATTGGATTCATTCGTTTGCCTCTGAATGAAAATCTGAGCAGACGTGGTTTTTCTAGTTTGTCTTGGATAAAACAAAGAGCCTCACTTTAGCAATTTCAATAGCCACTATCATATAGTAGTCAAAGCTGCAGACGCGATTTAAATGTGAATTGTGTTCCCTCACCCAGTTAGGGTCTATTGCAGGCAGGAATAAAGGCGACATGAATGGTTTCTTCTCCTTTTTCCGACTTGAACTTCTTTCCCTTCCTTGTTTTGCAAACTCAGTTTCTGACTCTTCCAAGGATTAGAGTGAACAGAAGAAGGAAAGAAAGAGTGGAGCATGAGAGTTCTTATTTGACTGGCACTGCTATGAGCTTGCAACTGCATTTTCTGTGCCTAACAAGTATTTAAAGCTGTTTCCTTCCATTAGTGACTATTGGTTCTTTGGATTCCCCCTTCTCAGTTATCTAGTGCTGCTATAACAGAAATACCACAAGTGGATGGCTTTAATATGGCTTTAATAAAGACAAATTTATTCTCTCACAGTCTAGAAGGCTAGAAATCTGATTTCAGGGTGCCAACTCCAGGGGAAGTCTTTCTGTCTCTGCTCTGGAGGAAGCTCCTTGTCATCAATCTTCCCCTGGTCTAGGAGCTTCTCAGCACAGGGACCCCAGGTCCAAAGGATGCACTGTTTTCCTGGCTCTTGTTTCTTGGTGGTATGAGCTCCCCATGTCTCTCTGTTCCCTTGTCTCTTTTATTTCTTAAAAGAGTTTGGCTTAAGACACAATCTAATCTTGTAGATTTGAGTCCTGTCTCATTAACATACCTGCCTCTAATCTTGCCTCATTAACATCATAGAGGTAGGATTTACAACACATAGGATAATCACATCAGGTGACAGAATGGTGGACAATCACACAATACTGGGAATCATGGCCTAGCCAAGTTGACAGACATTTTTAGAGGACACAGTTCAGTCTATAACACCCCCTTACAAAGGATCTCATATCCGCAGTGCCTTTTACGGTAACAACTGCATCTCCATTCCAACTAGTTAGTTGCTTATTCCCTCCTCGGCCCCAAGGAATCAGGAATAACTATAGATTTTGTTTATTAAGGTCTGTTTGCTCCTTCAGGTGGCCTTCGGAGATGACCCCATGTGTGCTTGTCTGTGCACATGCTGTCTTTGTCATGTAACCCATATCCTTCCACATGAAACCCTCATGCATTATTGCCCTGATGACTCTGGTAGAGCAAGCCAACCAGCAGCCCCACAACCCTTTTTTTTGGTCCATCATTAGCCACTCCTCTCTCTCCTGAAAGATTTTTCTATGGCAGTCAGGCACTGATCCATCATACCCCCAGTTGCTGGGGCCGTGTGTCAAGATGTCTGAGAGGATCCAGATCTCATGAGGTTTGAGGTGAGGGGTAGGCATCCTCCACCATCCCCTTTGTTCTGGAGTTGTGATTCACAGCACACCAAAAGCTTTTCTCCAAAAATCCTCTCTCTTATCTACTATTTTCTGGACCTTTTAATACCCTTGTTGTAGGTAAAGAGTTTAAATTGGTCTTGCCTATTCTTTCTCAGTCACTGATTTTCAGCAATCAAAACGGAGTAGTCTTTCTCATGCTGTTACTGCAATGGTGGGTCTGAGCCGCCTGCCGCAGAAGCGGATACTGAGACGGGGTGAGGTTAGTAGCAAGAGGGTTTTTATTGTATATCAATGTACAGAAGACAGAGGGAAATGAGCTCATCCGAAATCTGCCTCCCAGTCTGGAGGTAGGTCAGAGGGTTATATAGGAAGAAATCAAAGTCCAAGGAATTTGCAGAATGTTGGTTCCCCTCTGGGGTGGCTGACCACATTAACCACGCTCTAGACATATTGACCTTTTGACCCCATCCTGGTTTCGGCCACAAGATGATTTTTCCTTGTTCAGGCATTTTACTTCCAGATTTTATCACTTGTTCTACCTCTCAAAGAGGAACTTAGGTTAATTTTAAACTTTTATAAAATCATGGGAAAACAGGAGGGAAGAGGGAAGGAAAATAAACAGAATCACGGGAGCATGCAGAAATGAACTGTGCAAGCTGTGCATTGACAATACCACAATACCCGAGACGCTAGGCCTACACTGCTGACAGTAAACAGTAAGTGTGAAATTCCCGTGCAGCCCCTTTCAGTGCTTACTTTGATGTCTCATATCTGTTGTCTAAGGACCTCAGCCAAAACTACCTTTCACCATCCTGCTATGGATGGATGTCCAATGCTTAGTATATGTCATGGATTGAGTTCTTTTCCTCCCAAAACATCTGTCAACTTGGCTAGGCCATGATTCCCAGTATTGTATGATTGTCCACCATTTTGTCATCTGATGTGGTTTTCCTATGCATTGTAAATCCTATCTCTATGATGTTGATGAGATCAGATGATCGGCAGTTATATTAATGAGACTTGATCTGCAAGATAAGATTGTATCTTAAGCCAATCTCTTTGTTTTCAAGCTTACAATTTTATTTGTTTTTTTTTTTTTATTGTTGTAGTCTAAGTGAAATTTTACAACTCGAGTTAGTCTCTCATACAAAAATTTATATATCCATTGTTATATGACCCTAATTGCTCTCCCTATACTGTGACAGCACACTCATCTTTTCCTCCCCTAATTAACTGTGTCCATTCAACCAGCTCCTAACCCTCTCTGCCTTCTCATCTCACCTCCAGACAGAAGCTGCCATTTAATCTCATGTATCTACTTGAGCTAAGAAGCACACTTTTCATGAGTATCATTTAATGTCCCACAGTCCAATCCAATCTTTGTCTGAAGAGTTGGCCTCGGGAATTGTTTTAGTTCTGGGTTGGTAGAGAATCCGGGGGCCATGCTTTCTGGGGTTCCTCCAGTCTCAGTCAGACCATTAAGTCTGGTCTTTTTACTAGAATTTGAGTTCTGCATCCCACCCTTCCCTCACTCCATCAGGGACTCTCTGCTGTATTCTCTCTCAGGGCAATCATTTGTGGTAGCTGGGCACCGTCTAGTTCTTCTGGTCTCAGGTTGATGAAGTCTCTGGTCTATGTGTAAGCCAATCTCTTTTGAGATATAAAAGAGAGAAGTGAGCAGAGAGACAGGGGGAACTCATACTGCCAAGAAACAAGAGCCAGGAGAATAGTGCATCCTTTGGACCCAGGATCCCTACACTGAGAAGCTCCTTGACCAGGGAAGATTGATGACAAGGACCTTCCTCCAAAGCCAAGAGAGAGAGAAAACCTTCCCTTGGAGCTGGTGCCCTGAACTCGGACTTCTAGCCTCCTAGACAGTGAGAGAATAGATTTCTCTTTGTTAGAGCCATCCGCTTGTGGTATTTCTGTTACAGTGGCACTAGATAAGTAAAACAATGTAAAAGGAGTATACTACATAGTAGATTAGAGTATGTTATCAAACACTTGCTGGTTTTCCAGCAGTGAGATAGGGGCTGTTTGCTCTGTCAGCTCTAATCCTTACAGCAGCCCTCCCAGTGTTGTTGTTGTTAGGTGCTGAGTCAGTTTTGACTCAGAGCGACCCCACGTACAACAGAAGGAAACACTGCCTGGTCCTGCACCATCCTCACAATTGTTGCTGTGCTGGAGCCCGTTGTTGCAGCCACTGTGTCAGTCCATCTCGTTGAGGGTCTTCCTCTCTTTTGCTGACCCTCTACTTTACCAAGCATGATGTCCTTCTCCAGGGGCTGGTTCAAAATAAACGTGAGACAAAGTCTTGCCATCCTTGCTTCTAAGGAGCATTCTGGCTGTACTTTTTCCAAGACAGATTCTGGCAGCCTATGGTATATTCAGTGTTCTTCACCAACACCATAATTCAAAGGCATCAGTTCTTCTTCGGTCTTCCTTATTCATTCTTCAGCTTTTGCATGCATAGGAGGCGATTGAAAATACCTTGGCCTGGGTCAGGCCCACCTTAGTTCTCAAAGTGGTATCTTTGCTTTTTAACACTTTAAATAATATCTACCCTCCCAGTAGGTATTATTGTTTTCATCTTACAGGTGAGAAAAAGAGAGAATGCGAATAGTAAGTAACTTGTCTGGTCACATTGATAGGCAGTGTAGGAGCAAGGATTTGGCCTCTGTTGCTCAGAATCCTAAATCTGGGCTCCCATGGGGTCACTCCTGCTGGCATCTCCTAACACTGGAATTATTGGACCCTGAGTCACACTGGGTCCACCTGGCTAGCCCAGGATACTCTTTCTGTTTCAAAGTCCATACCCTTATTCACGTCGGCAAAGCCCCTTTTGCCAGGAATTAGGAAGTGGACGTCTTTGGGTGGCCGTTCTTCCAACCACAGTAATTGAGCAAAATGAGGAATTTGAAAGAATTATTTCATGGACATTTAGAATTTTAATCAAACTCCTCTGTTCCTTCCTTCAGTGTCTGCTACCACTAATGGAATATAGAGATCTGGAGATGTATAATCAGTTTGTTTGTTTTTCCCTTGCTTTTAAGGAAATCTATTTGTGGCACTATTTTACTAAACTATTTTGTTTACCTTAGGTTTGAAGCTTCATATAAATTCATCGCTGCCATTTTCAATTCAGTATTAAGCATCTAATCCATGCAGTGTTATAGAAAAAATGTTTAAAATAATATTTTCTTTTTAAATCCAGATTTGGACTTAAAACCGCTGCTAAAATCAATTGGAAGCAATTTCTGACATCATTTTACCATCCCTCATGGTTGTCATTTAGCGGTTCAACTCCCATGACAAGAAGAAATAGGTATGTAAAAAACAAAACCTAAAACCCAGACATTGTCTACTTCCACATAAGGACTGAATTTTAGTTACACATCTCATAATATATAAAAGGTTAGAGAATATTTGAATTACTTCGGCTTCATTTATTGAATGATAAATTGGTCTCCATTGAGTAATTACCATTTACATAGGAATTTGCAGTTTATAAATTATTTTTCATACATTTATCTTATTTAAAATTTCCATAAACTCTAAGGTGGGTATAATTATTATTCCAATTTCTAGATGAGAAAAAGAAGACTCTAAGAGGTTAAGAATGACTTAACTAGGTCACGTGCTTAGTGAGAGGTGGAGCCCGCCACCGAGCCCGAACACTCTGGGTACCCAGGCCAACACTGCCTTCATTGCTCTCTGAGCTTTAAATGTGTTCTTGTAAAATTATGTATAAACACGTATTTGTTAAATGATATAGGAAAAGGAACAATAGATATTAACTTGTTTTCCCACCAGTCTCTGCATGGTGCAGATGTTGTGGATCATGGAGATTATTTGCCGTGAGCACCATTATTTCTGTTTTCATTCTGATGTCTGTTATAACTTCAGGTTTACAATGTCACAAACATTGTGGTGGGGGCCCCAAAATATTAAGAAATACTTAATAATATGACACTTTGGGACTTAGACTTCTGCCGTATGCTGTATTCTGTTTATGTTGGTGGGTATCATGCATTGATTGTCCCGTGCGAGTTGAAATAGGCTCGATAGCATCTAACAACGACAACCTATAAATCTTAAAGAAAAAACAGGCTTTACAATCTCAGCACGTCCGTTGAAAGCACTATGCTCTATTGCAAAGTAAAATATACCACAGAGTTAGCTCCCCCTTCACTGGGTCCTATCCCTGTCTCAGAGATTTATGAATATTTAATGGACGGTCCTGGCTACCGGCCCTCCCCGTATTCAAAGCCCTCCCTCCCTGTTCCAGAGGTGAGTTCATTTCTTAAGTGAAGGTTCTTACTTCTTTCTGTTTGTAATTTTCTTGTCTGATAGCACTTTGTCCAGGACTATAAGAATTAAAAGTTTAATTTACTTTTAAACAGTAGTTTTCAACTGGATGGAGGGCAATGGTGTTCCTTCCCCTCCTACCCCTCCCAGGGACATTTGACAATGTCAAGAGACGTTTTTATTTATCTCAGCAGAGTGACAGGTGCTACTTACATCTAATGTGTAGAGACCAGAAACAAAAACAAAACAAACAAACCCGTTATCGTCAAGTCGATTCTGACTCTTAGCAACCCTATAGGACAGAGTAGAACTGCCCCATAGCATTTCCTAGGCTGTAAATCTTTACGGAAGCAGATTGCCAGGTCTTTTCTCCCGAGGAGTCAATGCGTGGGTTCAAATTGCAGACCTTTCAGTTAGCAGCAGAATGCTTAATCACTGCACCACCAGTGGAGGTCAGGGATGCTGCTGGATATCCTACAGCCCACGAGACAAAGAATCATCCAGCTCCAAATGTCCATGGTGCTGCGGTGGAGAAATCCCAGTAGAACGTTTCCATGCTAGTGTTAGTGGTCTTTAGAAAAGCTAGGTACCAGGGAGCCGCCCGGGGAACTCAGACTCGGGACCAGCTTGTATGTTGCTTCATTTATTGAATGATAAATTGTTTTGCACAGCTGGAAAAAGCTAATATGGCTATATGGATGCAGCAATAAAAACCCAAAAACAAATGTGAGAATTGCTCAGTAGGTAAGCTGATTCACTGTCATCCTTTATTTAATAGAAAATGAGAACTATCTAATTGAACATTGAAAAAGAGGAGGCCAACATATTTTGTTATGAGATACACAAAAGTCCACCGTTCTGATCAGAGTCCATATGGAAGCTGGTTTTGATCCCCAGAGTGGATGAGCGTAGGCCTTTAAGAGCACACGTAGGGCCTGATGGACCCTGAGCTCAGGAGATGAAAGCAAGAGGTGGTGAAGGGAGAGCGTCCAATCACGTAGGTGGTATGGCCGTTGTTAATTGAAAGGAGAGGTTGTGAAGGTTGTTATCCTCCCGGTTTTGGAACTGGACATTTGTGCACTCAATTATCCTGTGAATGAGTGTGTGCAATATGCTGCCTGTGCAGGAAGATGATGGTTCTGAACTTTCCACCTTAACTGAGGTCTTAGCAGTGGTTGGTGGTCCCTTTCCTGGTCTATTTTGAGATCAAAAGCACAGATTTGCAAAATGGCTACCCAGAGTTAGTCAGCATGGGTGAGGGTTGATGGTAAATCCAAGCTAATTGACTCCAGTGAAAATTGCACCCATGCCTTCTCCCTTATTAGGCATCGCGTGGACCGAGTGACGGATCGACACCCACAAGTACATTACACTTTTAGGAAAAAGAGCCGTCTGCAAAGAAAGCATTAATATAGCTGTTGTGAAGGTGCTTTTTCGCATTAAGAAAGAGGCAAGTTCAAGAACATAATCTTATTCCTGTTTTTCTCTTAATCTTCTTGTAGTGTCAGCTCTAGTAACATCAACTGTAGAAATCAACCTTACAAGGAAAATATTATCACCAAGTTACCTAGACTTGCTGAAGATCATTTTACGTCTTTGAAGAAGGCCTTACTGAAACCCAACAACGTAAGATTTCAGACCCTTCCCTGGTGAAAAACTCATTGTCTCTAAGAATGCTAACACTCTGACATTGACGAAAACTGCACAGCCGTTCATTTATCCAACAGACATTTTCTTGAGCTCCTATTATATGCTGAGAATTGTTCTGAGTGCTTGGGGGTACAAGCCCCATCCTCAAGAACTGAGTCTGGTTAGGAAGACAGATGATATACAAATAATTGCAATACAGTAAGATAAATGCTGATAGCTTGAGAACAGTGTTCTCCTTGTTAAGAATGGAGTCATCTTTAATTGCTCATTTAACAAATTACACAGACCAGTTGACAGTCCCTCGCCTGGCCCTAGACTTTATCATCTTATAACCAACTTGCAGTCTGTAACAGGAACATCTTCTTAGTTCCAAAATAACCTATTCAATTTTTAAATTGTACAACAAATGGCAGACTAATTCATTAATTTGCAACTTGCTTTTTCTTGCTTTAAACATTAGCTCCTCTTCCACTTGAATGTTTCTTTTAGAAAGCAGCACTTGGAGACTTTTGATATGTAGGGACATTTCCCAAGTATGATATTTATTAAGCACGATTCAATAACTACATCTCTAGTAAATAATAAGGAGGACAGTGAATTACATTTCCTCAGACTCAAATATGACTGTGTACAAAAAATTTCAAATGCCAGGGGAGTTACTTGGCTTCAGCAGCATCATTCCAAAGATCTACCGACAAAGAGGAAGTCCATGAGCCAACAGGATGTAGTCTGGGGAGAAGCCGACTTTGGCTGGAGGTGGACTTCAGGGTTTGGCCGTCTGCTGTCTGTGCTGGACGCCATAGCTCTACTCCTCTGCTTCCAAGCATACTGTGGACTCAAATAGGAGGTTATGTTTTCATGTCGAGACATTTTAGCTAGCATACCTAATATAATTGACCATTGGGAGCCCAACTTGACTTAATCTTTCTGAATGAACAATAATATTGAGTGGTTAAGAGCTACGGCTGCTAACCAAAAGGTCAGCAGTTCGAATCCACCAGGAGCTCCTTGGAAACCCTATGGGGCAGTTCTACTCTGTCCTATAGGGTCACTATAAGTCAGAATCAACACGATGGCAATGGATTTGGTTTTGGTATTTGGTTTTTACTATGTGCCAGACACTGTTTTAAGCAAATTGCTTGTGTTACCTCATAGTAGCCTCTCCACACGTCTGTGAGGTAAGTGTTATTTGTGTTTAACAGATAGGAAGTGATCATGGGGGTTAAGGTAACCAGTGTGAGGCTACCCAGCGAGTGAGTAGGAGCCTCCTGGCTCCGAGCACACACGTAAGCACTGGATTGAGCCACCTGGTCGTATACTAGCTAAACTTCCTCCTAAAGGAAGGATTTGTGTGTTTACTCACCTGAGGGTATGTTTAGTATATTGAAGAAGCAGTTTAATTCAGAACAGTGAAATCTTCATCCCTATTAACGGAGGACTGTCATAATGCTAACCACTTCAAGTGTCAGACTATTTAAAAGTTGTTGATGTACTGTTCAACTACAGATCAACAGATGTGTAATATAGGTTAAGAAATGAGTAGCCACTCCATGCTGGGCTATGTTGGGCACTTAAGCTAAACACATAGATGAAGAATATAAAAAGTCGTTGGCAGTGATGACTTCATACTCTGGAGTATCACCAAAAACCAAACCTGTTGCCATTGAGTTGATTCTGACTCATAGCAACCCTACAGGACAGAGTAGAACTGCCCCTAGGGTTTCCAAGGAGCCCTGGTGGCTCAGTGTTTAAGAGCTTGGCTGCTAACCAAAAGGTTAGCAGTTCCAATCCACCAGACACTCCTTGGAAACCCTATGGGGCAGTTCTACTCTGTCCTATCGGGTCATTGTGAGTTGGAATTAACTCCACAGAAATGGGTTTGGTCTTTTTTTGTTTGTTTTTGTAGTCTTTACTGGAGCAGACATCTTTCTCCTGTAGAGCAGCTGGTGGGTTCGAACTGCTGACCTTTCGGTTAGCAGCCAAATGGCTAACCACCGCACCATCACATAACAGTAATAATGATAAAATGCCTTCCAGTTGAATCGTGCATGGTTTCAGAGTGGGACTCCACCCACCACCACACACACTTGCCTTGGCCTTGGCCACATTCTGGGATATGGAAGAAATTAAACAAGAATGAGAACAGAGGGTGAGAGCCAGGAATAGACAGGGCTGGATGTTTTGCAGGTCCCTCTTCCACTATAGAGAGGGATGGAGAATTAATAGAAGAAAGTCTGCTTTGGATCTGCTCCCAGAGTCAAACATCTTATGTAGCTGTATGTGCTGCCTCCAAATGCTGCCACTATTTCTTCAGGTGGACCTCAGTCATCCCCGTCACTTACATTTAAATCAGATGTGGCTCATTTTCTATCACCCAGAAACCATTTGTATCCTGCCTGTTTGCTTCTCTTATTCTCAGTGTTATTATTCACAGATGACATGATTTTGTAAATAGAACATCCAAACCCATCTACAAAGATATATTAGAATTATTAATAGAATTTAGAAGGTTATTGGATACAAGGTCAATATGGAAAGATCAACAATATTTCTATAAACACCAATAAAAAATTAGAAAAATAGGAATTTTTGAAATAGCATTTATAATAATATTAAAAAAAATCAAATACCTGGAAATATATTTATCAAAAAACATGGAAATTCTCTACACTGAAAACTACGAAGATCGCTTAGAGAAAGAATACCAATCCTTCACAAAGTCTTTCCAGAAATAGAGGAGGAATATTTCCCAGCTCATTCAGTGAGACCAGTATTAACTCTGATACCAAAGACAGACAAAGACATCACAAGAAATCTATAGACCAGTATCCTTAATGAATATAGTTGCAAAAATCCTCAACAAAATATTAGTAAACTGAAACCAGCAACATATAAAAAACATTAAATGCTATGACAATGTGGGATTTATACCAGGAGTACAAGCTTGGCTTAACTTCAAAAAAAGTAATGTAATACACCATATTAAAATAAAGGGCAAAACCATATGATCATCTCAGTGGAGGCAGCAAAAGTATTTGAATAATCTAACTTGCCTTCGTGGTACGTGATAAAACTCTCAACAAACTAGGAATAAAAGAGAACTTCCTCAACTTGATAAAAGGCATCTATGAAAAACCTACAGCAAATGTCATACTTAATGGTGGAAGACCAAATGTTTTTCCTAAGAGTGGGAGGAGGGCAAAGATGTTTGCTCCTACCACTTCTAGTCAACGTGGTATTAGAGGTTCTAGACAGTGCAGTCAGGCAAATAAAAGAAATAAAAGCCGTTCAGATCGGAAAGGAAGAAGTAAAGCTGTCTTTATCCACAGACAATATGATCTTGTATGTATAGATTTCTAAGGAATACACACACACACACAACTACTAAAACTAATGAGTTCACCAAAGTTGCAGGATACAAGATCAATATACAAATATAAGTTACATTTCTGTGAACTAGCAATGAACAGTCCAAAATGAATGAAAGAAAACAATCCCATTCACAATAGCATAAAATAGAGGAATAAATTACACTCACTCCTCACTCACTGACATGGTTAGGTTCCAAAGACCAAGTTGTTATGTGAAAAGTGGATGGCCACATCAGATCACAAAATGGAGTTTGACTACATCATTACATAACTGCCAAATTACATCATTACATAAACTGCCAAATCACATCATCTCATAACTGCCAAACCACTGAGAATCATGGCCCAGCCAAGTTGACACGTAACCTTAACCATCATAGCTGGCGTTACTCACGCCTTGCACCTTGGCATTCATTAAAGCCAGACGTGTGTTCTTAATGCACAAAATAGTGGGATAGTAAAATTTTTACTATTGTCATAAATGCAAAAGTCAGATAATGGGATAGTTATAAGTGAGGAGTAGGTGTACTTGGTAATAAATTTAACAAAAGTACCCAACTTGTATTCTGAAAACTACAAAACATTGCTGAAGGGAGTTAAAGAAGATGTAAGTAAACGGAGAGACAGACCATGTTCATGGAGTAGAACACTCAATATTATTAAGATGTCCCAAATCGAAAAACCTAACCTGTTGCCATCGAGTTGACTCCAACTCATAGTCAGTTCTCCTCAAGTTGATCTATAGATTCATTACAAATACTATTGACATCTCAGCTGACTGCTTTTCAGGAGTTAATGAGATGATCCTAAAATTCACATGGAAATGTAAAAATTGCCGAATAGCCAAAACAATCTTGGGCAAGAAGAATAAAGTTAGAGAGGACTTAAACTTCCAGATTTTGAATAAAGTAATAAAGACTTTGTGGTCCTGGCATAAAGATAGGCATATAGATCAATGGAACAGAATTTAGAGTCTATAAGTAAACCCTTAGATTTATGGTCAATATCTTTTTGACAAAATCAATGGGGAAAGGAGAATCTTTTCAACAAATGGTTTTGGGACACACAAATGAACTCAAAATAGAATATAGACTTAAATGAAGAGCTAAAACTATAAAACTCTTAGAAGAAACTATAGGCATAAATGTTTGTGACTTTGGGTTAGGCAAAGATTTCTTAGATATGACACCAAAAGCATGAGGTATAAAAGAATAAAATAATTGGTAAATTTGACTATATAATAATCAAAAACTTTTGCACACTAAAAGACATTATTAAGAAAGTTAAGTGACAAGTGACAGATTACTTGTTTCCGTTGAGTATATTCCAACTCACGGCGACCCTGTACTGACAGATTGGGAGAAAATATTTGGAAGTCATATATCTGGTAAAGGACTTGTTTCTGGAATACATGAAGAACTCTTACAGTGCAATAAGAAGGCATCCTAATTTTTAAAATGAGCAAAAGATTTGAATAGATATGTTACCAAAGAAGATGTATGAGTTGCCAATAAGCACAAGGAGCCCTGGTGGCACAGTGGTTGGTAACCAGAAGGCTGGCAGTTCGAATCCACCAGCCACTCCTTGGAAACTCTGTGTGGCAGTTCTACTCTGTCCTGTAAGGTTGCTATTAGTCAGAAATGACTCAACGGCAACGGTTTTTTTTTTTTTTTTGTTGTTGTTGTTTGTTTGTTTAATAAGTACATGAAAAAATGCTCACATTAGTCATTAGTCATTAGAGGAATGCAAATTAAAACCACAATGAAATATCGTACTCACAAGAATGGCTATAATTGAAAATAAACAGACAGTAACAAGTATTGGTGAGGATGTGGAGAAATCGGAACCCTCATACATTGCTAGTGGGAATGTAAAATGGCAACCATTTTGGAAAACACCTTCTTAAAATTTAAACATAAATTTACCATATGATGCAGCAATTCCACTCCTAGGTATCTGAAATGAAAACATGTGTCTGTCCACGTAAAGACTTGTACACAAATGTTCATAGCAATGTTATTCATCATTCCCAAAGTAGAAATGATCCAAATACCCATTAACTTGTGGCTAGATAAAATGTATTCCATACATGGAATACTCACCAGGATTAAGAAGGAACAAAATACCAGCCCACGCTACAACGTGGATGAACCTCAGAAACGTTATGCTAAGTGAAAGAAGCCAGACCCAGGAGACCACACAGTGTATGATTCTATTACATGAAATAATATTCATGTGAATAGGTGCACCTGATCAAAGCCATGGTGTTTTCCACGGCCTCATATGCATGTGAAAGCTGGACGACGAATAAGGAAGACCAAAGATGAACTGATACCTTTGAATTGTGGTGTTGGTAAAGAATATTGAATACACCATGGACGGCCAGAAGAGCAAACAAGTCTGTCTTGGAAAAAGTACAGCCAGAATGCTCCTTGGAAGCAAGGATGGCGAGACTTGGTCTCACATACTTTGGACGTGTTATCAGGAGGGGCCAGTCCCTGGAGAAGGACATCATGCTTGGTAAAGTAGAAGATCAGCGAAAAAGAGGAAGACCCTCAACAAGATGGATTGACAAAGTGGCTGCAACAATGGGCTCAAGCATAACAATGATTGTGAGGATGGCGCAGGACCAGGTAGGATTTCGTTGTGTTGTACATGGGGTCGCTATGAGTCGGAACAGACTCAACGGCACCTAACAACAAAAAACAATTTACATGAAATACTCAATAAAAGTTGAGTAGAGACAGAAAATAAATTAGTTGCCTGAGGCTGGGCATGGGAGTGGGGAGTGACTGTAATGGGTATGAGGTTACTTTTTTGGGGTGATGTAATGTTCTAAAATAAGATTGTGGTGATGATTGTCAAAGCTTTAAATTTATTTAAAATAATTAAAAAATTAGTTGTCAGTGATTCCTATTTGGACATTAAAAAATAGATCATCACTCCCAAACCCAAAAGGAAGCATGCCTGAGTCCCCTAAAGTACTTAATTTACTCCAGGAGAACCTCATGTTCTTTTTAGATCATAAGCCCCAAAATAACAGCTGGCACTTGTACCCTGATTTATCACTTATGCATGGAGCCCTGGTGGTGCAGTGGTTAAGTGCTCGTCTGCTAATCAAAAGGTCAGCAGTCTGAACCCACCAGCAGCTCCACTGGAGAAAGATGTGGCAGTCTGCTTCCATAAAGATACAGCCTCGGAAACCCTATTCTGTCCTGTAGGGTTGTTATGAGTTTGAATCGATGGCAACAGGTTTGGGGTTTGGTTTTGTCGTTTATGTAGTCCCTTCGTCATATTCAGGCTCCACATTTTCTCTGTATGATGATGTTGTTGTTGTTAGGTGCCGTCTAGTCACTTCTGACTCGTAGCGACCCTGTGTACAACAGAATGAAACACGGCCCGGTCCTGAACCATCCTCACAGTCGTTGCTATGTTTGAGCCCATTGCTGCAGCCACTGTGTCAGTCCATCTCACTGAGGGTCTTCCTCTTTTTGCTGACCCTCTACTTTACCAAGCATGATGTCCTTCTCCAGGTACTAGTCCCTTCTGCTAACATGTCCAAAGTATGTGAGACGAAATCTGGCCATCCTCGCTTCTAAGGAGCATTCTTGTCTGTACTTATGCCAAGACAGATTTGTTTGTTTTTCTGGCAGTCCATGGTACATTCAATATTCTTCACCAACACCATAGTTCAAATTCATCAATTCTTCTTAGGTCTTTCCTATTCATTGTCCTACTTTCACATGCATAAAAGGCTATTGAAAACACCATGGCTTGGGTCGGGCGCGCTTTAGTCTTCAAAGTGACATCTTTGCTTTTTAACACTTTAAAGAGGTCCTTTGCAGCATATTTGCCCAATGCAATGTATCATTTGATATCTTGACTGCTGCTTCCATGAGTGTTGATTGTGGATCCAAGTAAAATGAAATCTTTGACAACTTCAATCTTTTCTCCGTTTATCATGATGTTGCTTATTGGTCCCGTTGTGAGGATTTTTGTTTTCTTTATGTTGAGGCGTAATCCATACTGAAGGCTGTGGTCTTTGATCTTCACCAGTAAGTGCTTCAAGTTCTGTTCACTTCCAGCAAGGAAGGTTGTGTCATCTGCATGTCGAAGGTTGTTAAGGAGGCTTCCTCCAATCCTGTACGAGGTAGCAGTTCTTTGTCTCCCCCGTTTTCTTAAGTAAACACCATCTCTCAATTTTAATATTTAATTTCCTTATTGATCTCTTATTCTGGGGGAAGAAATTTGCTGCCAAGTACTTTGCTTATAATATGTTTTGTTTATGTAGCACGGCTGAAATTTTTCTTGCTAAGTAATTGTCCTTTTGGGTAATTGATGGTATTCGTGGCAGTGAAAACAAATGTAATGAATATTTTTAGTAAATTGGCAAATTGTAATTGAACTGCCAGGAAGTTGTGTGCTCCAGTGGCTGAGCCGCCTACTCCTCAGTGGGACTAGGGAAGGAGGAACTCTTAAAAGCCAGGCTGAACAGCCAGCTCTCCCACTAGAGCTCTTAGCCGAGGCCCATCCCCAGAAAGGGAGCAGCCTATGCCTAGGAAATGAGCCTCATTCTTCACTCTGGGGCCATCTCCTGCCCGGGTCCTGCTGGAGAACACTGTTGGGGTCCCAGTTGGAAAGCCCTGACATTCCCACCCTCCACTGCTCTTGGCACACGTGTTATATACCAATAACAGTTGCGGTCAAGTCGATTCCAACTCATGGTGGCCCCATGTGTGTCAGAGTAGCACTGTGCTCTGTAGGGTTTTCAATGGCTAGATTTTGGAAGTAGATGACCAGGCCTTTCTTCTAGTGCACCTCTAGTGGACTCGAAGCGCCAGTCTTAAGTTAGCCGCTGAGTATGTTAACTGCTTGCACCACGCAGGAACTCTATGTGTCTTATAAAAACCCTTTGCCGTCAAGTTGATTCCGACTCATAGTGACCCTATAGGACTGAGTAGAACTACCCCATATGGTTTCCAGGGAGTGGCTGGTGGATTCAAACTGCTGACCCTTTGGTTAGCAGCTGTAGCTCTTAACCACTGTGCCAGTGATCATTAATTCAGGTATTCTATTTGGCTAAACTTGGCTGTGTTAAATGGTGCTGAACGTATATGATGCTTTTCCTTCCTTTTTCTCTTTTTATGTCTTATCTCAGAAATGTGATGGAAATATAACAGCGGAAGAACTGCAGAACACTCTAAATAGCAATGCCATAAAAATAAGTGATTCAGAATTCAAAGAACTCATGCAAACGCTTGACCCAGGGGGCACTGGACTGGTCAGAGTCAACACGTTCCTTGACCTGCTTGAAGAAGAGAACCTGAAGGTCAGTTTTATAATGACTTTGTATTTTGTTTTCTATTTTTGGCACAAACCTTAGGTATTCTTAGTAAAGTAAGAGATGAAAGTGAAATAGTGTCTTAGTCATCTTGTGCTCCTGTAACAGAAGTACCACAAGTGGATGGTTTTAACAAAGAGAAGTTTATTCTCTCACAGTCCTGTAGGCTACAAGTCCAGATTCAGGGCATCAGCTCCAGGAGGAGGCTCTCTCTCTCTGTCGGCTCTGGAGGGAGGTTGTTGTGATGCATCAGTCTTCCCCTTGGTCTGGGAGCTTCTCAGCGCAGGAACCTCAGGTCCAAAGGATGAGCTCTGCTCTGGGTACTGATTTCTCGGTGGTATGAGGTCCCCATGTATCTCTGCTCACTTCTCTTTTTTATATCTCAGAAGAGATTGGCTTAAGACACTGTCCAATCTTGTAGACCTCATCAGTGTAACTGTCTCTAATCCATCTTATTAGATCATAGTGATTGAATTTACAACACATAAGGAAATCACATCAGATTACAAAATGGTACACAATCATACAATACTGGGAAGCGTGACCCAGCCAAGTTGACAGATATTTTTGGGGGACACAATTCAATCCATGACATATGGTTTAAATAAATTAATGACAGTTCAAGTTTTTCCACTGAGTTAATTTTCATTTTAAGAAAGAGTTAAGAGTTGTTTCATTTTAATGTTCAGTTTCCAAATCTTACTGAATGGTGACATTTGACATTTCTGAAAGCCCTTCCTTCAACAATGGCAGCTTTATGTACCAGATGTAGCTTCCTTTTCCAGCAGCCCAGCAACACTCGCCTCGCACCCGTGTCTCAAGGAGGGTGCTCATGAATCACAGCACTCTGGTTCCTATTCATATGATGGCACGGTGGTTAATTGCTCGCCTGCTAACCGAAAGGTCAGCAGTTCAAACCCACCCTGTGGCTCCGCAGGAGAAAGACCTGGCAGTCTGCTTCCATAAAGATTACAGTCTTGAAAACCATACGGAGTCAGTTCTGCTTTGTCACATGGAGTCACTATGAGTGTAAATCAACTTGACCATGCCTAACAACAAGTTACCATGGACTTTGATTGTTGATCCAAGTAGAATGAAATCCTTGACAACTTCAATTTTTTTCTCCATGTAATTCTTAGGGAAGAGTTTTGTAAATAATCCAAATTGAGAGACATTCTACAAAACACATGCTCAGCACTCCTCAAAACCTGTCAGTCTGCGCCTGTAAAAATTACAGCCTAGGAAGCCCTAGGGGACAGTTCTGCTTTGTCACATGGGGTCACTATGAGTTGGAATCAACTCGGAGGCACCTAACAACAGCACCCTTTGTTGGTTCACCTTTTAAAAAAAATAACTCTGCTTATTGCCTCCAGTGACTAACACTTGCTTTTCATATTTGTTTCTTCTGCCAGAGAAGTTGACAAAGTCATCGTATTATTAGAGGCGCTTCTATGACTTTAATAGCTGTTAGCATTTCAAAATTTTAAGAATTTTAAAAATCAGATTCATTTTAGATAATGCATATAATTGGCATTAACCACTTCTTGTAGAAATCTTTGTTAAAGACCTCTTTTAATAGGTACAAGTTAGCTTTTAATTTTAGATTTATGAAGTTGGCATTCTTATAAGTCTAAACCAACCTAGTAATATCAAGAGATGCACCATTTCCCTAAAGATAATTTTTTTTATTGAATGCATTTGAATGGTGTGCCTCCTTTGGGGATGGCTTTAAGATGGTTTAACTGAAGCTGGCTGCATTCTAGTCTGATGGCTTCCTTGCAAAGTGCAACAAACTCATCTTCAAGGAACCCTTCCCACCTGTCCTGGTTTTGGGTCAAGGTCTTGCTGAGAGTTAGGAGCAGACTTTTTGGCTAAAATGGGACATTATTTATTAGAGTGTGAGCATCATGTTTAAATCACTTTCTTTTGCTACATCTAGAAATTTTCTACAAACGTGTTGGGAGTAATTTTAATACAACCAATTACATAATTCATTAAAATGTTTTATTTTGGGCACTTTGTAGAATATTTGGGGCCCTGGTGACATGCTGGGTTAAGAGCTCGGCTACTAACCAAAAGGTTGGCAGTTCGAATCCACCAGCCACCCTTGGAAACTCTATGGGGCAGTTCGACTCTGTCCTATAGGGTCCCTGTGAGTCGGAATCGACTTGATGGCAACAGGTTTGGCTTTTTGTAGAATATTTGGAAAAACTACAATGGTGAGAATAATGATTAAAAATTCCTTTAAAAAACCCAGGGATCCCCACAGTGAAATTTTTGGCAAATTTCATTCTAGTCTTTGACTCTGTGTGTATACATATATTTTTAATATGGTTAAAGTCATCTATATGAATTTGTGTCCCATTTTTTCAACTTAATATTATATGATGTTATAGGGAAAAACATCACAAAGTTTAGTAAAGCAAAAAAGAAGTTTTACTCAGCATATATTCAAAAAGGCAAAAGTGGGAAGCAGACAAGCATGCTGGCAGAGCTATGGTCTGCCTGAATCCGAGGTATGTTATAGGATCATCAGTATCTATTAACATCACAGAATGGGTAAAATCAGTGAAAGCTTCACTTTTTCACCAATTGGCTAAAAACTGCTAGATCAATGTGATTCTGCATTTTGAATCATCTTTCTTAATAATCATTGGTACAGGTTTCAGTAACAATAGTTGGGAGAGTCTTCATTGGTCCAACAATTTTCTATTCACTAAATGCTAATAGAAAAAGATAAGAGTGGAAAGTCTTTTGTGTTCTGTTTGATTGGCTTATGTGAAAGGTTCCCTAAAAGATATTTTCTTCCGTAAAAGATATTTTCCAAGATTGGCGTAGCCTTTATTTTTATCTCAGGGCCCAGTTGATGTGTCCTTGTGAGTCCTTGTGAATCCAGCTCCACCTGGGTCACATTCTGTATGCTCAAGGACAGGGAGTAATGACTTCAGTATTATTTCCCAAATCAATGATGAGCATTTCCTCCATATCCCCAACCATTAAGTCAATAAACACGATTTTTAATGTCTACATAGGCTTTTTCTCTGTTCATGTACTTATTGGGGGCATTTAGACTATTTATTTATTAATTTATTTTTACTATGGATATTTTACTGTGGAGTATGGACAGACAGAGACAGCCTTCCCCTGGAGCTGGCACCCTGAATTCAGACATCTGGCCTGTTAGACTGTGAGAGAATAAACTTCTGTTTGTTAGAGCCATCCACTTGGGGTATTTCTGTTACAACAGCACGAGATAACTAGATAACCTTGCTTGCTGAAAGTGAAGAGGACTTGAAGCACTTACTGATGAAGATCAAAGACCACAACCTTCAGTGTGGATTACACCTCAACATAAAGAAAACAAAAATCCTCACAATGGGACCAATAAGCAACAACATGATAAACGGAGAAAAGATTAAAGTTGTCAGGGATTTCATTTTACTTGGATCCACATCAGCACCCATGGAAGCAGCAGTCAAGAAATCAAAAGACGCATTGCATTGGGCAAATCTGCTGCAAAAGACCTCTTTAAAATGTGGAAAAGCAAAGATGGCACCGTGAAGACTAAGGTGTGCCTGACTCAAGCCATGGTTTTTTCAGTCGCCTCATATGCATGCGGAAGTTGGACGATGAATAAGGAAGACTGAAGAAGAATTGACACCTTTGAATTGTGGTGTTGGCGAAGAATATTGAATAAGCCATGGACTGTCAAAAGAATTACAAAATCTGTCTTGGAAGAAGTACAATCAGAAGGCTTCTTAGAAGCAAGGATGGCGAGACTATGTCTCACATACTTTGGACCTGTTATCAGGAGGGATCAGTCCCTGGAGAAGGACATCATGCTTGGGAAAGTAGGGCGTCAGCGAAAAAGACGAAGACCCTCAACGAGATGGATTGACACAGTGGCTGCAACAACAGGCTCAAGCATAACGATGATTGTGAGGATGGCGCAGGACCAGGCATTGTTTCGTTCTGTTGTACAGAGTCACTATGAGTCGGAACCGACTTGATGGCACCTAACAACAACAACAGAGGATAACCAAGACACCATCTTTTCTTTAAAACTGTTTTAGGGTAAAAAACATCACAAAGTTTAGTAAAACAAAAGGAAAGTTTTATTCGGCATATATTCAAAAAGGCAGAAGTGGGAAACGGGCAACCATGCTGCCAGAGCCATGTCTGCCCGAGTCCAAGGAAATATTACCGAACAGACAAAAGTGGGAAAATGGACAAGCATGCTGCCACAGCCAAGTTTGTCCAAGTCGGAGGAAATATTACAGAATAGTCAAGAATGGGAAAACAGACAAGCATGCTGCCACAGCCATGTCTGCCCGAGTCCGAGGAACGTTACCGAGTCATCAGTATATATTAACATTACAAATGGGCAAAACCTTTGAAAGCTTCACCTTTTCACAGATTGGCTAGAAACTGTGACCCTACATTTTGAATTGTCTTTCTTAATAATCATTGGTACAGGTTTCGGTAATGACAGTCAGGAGTGTCTTCATTGGTCCAACAAATCTACTCACTAAATGCTAATAGAAAAATATAAGAGTGGAAAGTCTTTTGTGTTCTGTTTGATGATTTGTTTACATAAAAGATTCCCTAAAAGATATTTTCCAAGATTATCTTAGCTATTGTCTTTATACCTCAGGGCCCAGTTGATGTGTTCTTTTGAGTCCAGCTGGGTCACATTCTCAACCATCTGTTGAGTGAATGAATTCATGAATAAATAAATTAGAAAAATTAAAAACAGAGATAAGCAAATAGAATAGAAATCACCACAAATTCCAACATCAAGGGCTTGTTAACCACCATCATACTTTGTTATATATTCTTCCAAACACACACACACACACACACACACACACACACACACACACACTTGTATATATTCTATTTTATTTAAAAATAGGAGCCTAAAATTAATTACTTTTTAGTCTATGTTGTCTTTAATATATTGTTAATGTTTAATGTCAGCAAAGTTTCTGCTATATAATTTTAAAAGATAGTGAATAATGTCGTGGGGTAAAAACATCACAAAGTTTAGTAAAGCAAAAAGGAAGTTTTATTTGGCGTATGTTCAAAAAGCCAAAAATGGGAAGCGGACAAGCATCCTGCCAGAGCCATGTCTGCCCGAGTCCAAGGAAATATTACAAAATAAGCAGGGGTGGGAAAACAGACAAGCATGCTGCCACAGCCATGTCTGCCCAAGTCCAAGGAATATTATGGAATGACAAGTATATATTAACATTACAAATGGGCGAAACAATTGAAAACTTCACCTTTTCACAGATTGGCTAGAAACCGTGATCCTACATTTTGAATCATCTTTCTTAACAATCATTGGTACAGGTTTCAGTAATGACAGTCAGGAGGGTCTTCACTGGTCCAACAATTTTCTATTTGCTAAATGCTAACAGAAAAAAGATAAGAGTGGAAAGTCTTTTGTGTTCTGTTTGATTGGCTTATGTGAAAGTTTCCCTAAAAGATATTTTCCAAGATTATCCTAGTTATTGTCTTTATCTCAGGGCCCGGTTGATGTGTCCCTGTGAGTCCTTGTGAGACCTTGTGAGTCCATCTCCAGCTGGGTCACATTCTTATGCTCGAGGACAGGGAATAATGATTCCAATATTATTTCCTAAATCAATAACTGTCCCCCATTGTTGTAATCTAGTTTTTTCTTATTTTTTTTCTTTTATAAATTTTGCTACAATGAATACCATGGTACCTGCTTTTTTTGCATCACTAAATAATTATTTCTCTAATACAAATTTCTAGAAATGGATTTACTAGGTCAAAGGATATGTGCTTTATTTTGTTAATTATTTCTGTTATTTTTAGAGGAATATACGTACAAAGTACAAAATGCAAAAGACACAAAAGGGTATACTATGAAAAGTAAGTTTTCCTGCCATCCCTGTTCCTTTCCACCTCCTTCTCCTCCCCACCAGCAACCAGTTTTACTCTAAAACCAAACCCGTTGCTGTACAGTCGATTCCGACCCATAGCAACCCTATAGGACAGAGTAGAACTGCCCCATAGAGTTTGCAAGAGAAGCTGGTGGATTTGAACTGCCGACCTTTTGGTTAGCAGCCAAGCTCTTAACTTCTGTGCCACCAGGGCTCCAAAGTGCCTAATATTATCAAAATGTACTGTGAGACAGAATACCTTCCAGAAAACTTGTATCAGTTTACACTCCCACTATTCCTGAACTCTTGCCATCACTGGCAATAGGCTTACTTGTTCATCCCTGCCATTCCAATAGGCAAAAATGCCTTGGCACTTATTTAATTTGTAGATATGGTTTTTATTTTTATTTTATTTTTTTTATGTTTACTGGACTTAAAAAAAATATGTGCAAGGTAAGTGTTTCTATTCCCATTTTCAGTGTGGAGGACAAACTAAACTTGTCCAAGCTTCCCGAGCTGTTGGCTAATCAGGGGCAGAGCTAGCATTCAAGTCCAGGTTCATCTACCTCCAAAGCTTCTGCTACCTTTCATGAATTTTTTATTTTTATTTTTTATTGTACTTCAGGTGAAGGCTTACAGAAGAAATAGTTTCTCATGAAACAGTAGTACACATATTGTTTTATGACATTGGTTAACAACCCCACAACATGTCA